AACAAGAAATACGAGGAATCGTTTAGAAAATTATTCCAAAGCGTAACAAAGTTGGAAATTATAATTGCACAATTTTTGTTAAAAGTAAAAATTTTTTATTTTCAAATTTTTGTTTCACTTCCTTTATATTTTATTTTCACAACCATTCGGATTATCGATGCGTTTCTATTAAGTGATGGAATCTTTATGAAATTAATAATCAAAGCGGCTAGTTATTAATTGCTACTATAATTAGTGTTTAATGGCGGAATTATAATGAGACCCATAATTCGATCCACTCCGGGCCTCATTAATTGAAAATGTAATTCGTAATTTAATATGAAATTAATTGCGAAAGTAATTACAACGTCTGAACATGGCCGACATATATACATATATAAACTTAATAATTTGTATCAAATAGAAATCGTAATTCCGCCACAGAGCATATCTGCATTGAATCAACTTCCAAGAAGCAAAAAAAAAAAAAGAAAAAATTTCAAGAAAACAATATCTTTTCTTTCTCTTCATGAATATTAATTTGTAATTTAACCATTATTTAACGTTGAACGGAATTATCCGTTATTTTTCTTTCCTTTCTTTCTTTAAGAAAGGAAAGGACATTATATATTGTTACCCGTAGTCCCTTCAGATTTGCCTCATTGTTTAGTCATTCGAAAAATTGAATGTTATGCATCGAAACTAGCGTGTCATGCTCAGAGCTTAGCCAAGTAGAAGGAAAAAAAGGATTCATCTTTTCGTCCTACACTTCATATTTAATCCCTATTGAAAGGAATAAGGGAATAAGAATGAGTTACATCTTCTTTTAGAGAAATAGCTCAATTTCTTGGAAGTCGATTATTTCTTCATTTATAAAAATTATCAGGTAATCTCTAATCTAATGAACGAACCATTTGTCAATTGTATAATTTTTTAAAAAAGTTATATCATTAAATTTATCTAATATTTTTAACTAGAAAAAAAAAAGATGTTATACTGTATACTGAGAGAATGTTATTGCAATTATATAGAATTTTTCTTAAATTATAAGATATTTATTAAATTCTTACGTTATATCAATATTATTACATTAAACGAAAACTTTTAAAATGTAAACTTTTAATTAAGAAAGAGATTGAAATTGTAAATTTACATTTTAATCACGACACAACGATGGATTTCAATACCTCTCGTGAAAGTTAATAAGAAACAATAATGCTCGGATGTATTAATGGGCCGATATTTAAGACATTCGCAATTTTCGTCCTCGTTTCGTTGATTAATTCGACCATAAAGAATGATTGCGACGCGGTTCGCTGCTACCGCAATCGTTCCACTGATTAATGGAGTAATGAAATCTCGTCTAACCTTTTAATGGAATCACGAGTCGCCACCAATAGGTAATCAGACGTAATAATACGGCTGAAACCGTAGGAACGTGTGCGCATTATGCATAACTGGACAAGGTTATGCTTACAAGAGTTACAAAACGTTTCATTAAATTTGTTGCATACATCCATGAGAGACGAGATCTCATCAGGTGATCGATTTCCTTAATAGGATTCCATTTTTTACGCGTATCTGCAACTATGATAATGATGAAGGATTGAAATAAACATCTTCTTAGCTTACGTGGAGAAGGTAAATTAATGGAAATAAGTTCAGAATTTTTTCTTTTCTTGTAATTGGGATTACTTTGATATTAATGAATTTAAGATGGAAAAATTAATGATTTTATATATATATATATATATGTATATTTATAATAAATCATAAGGAATGAGATTTCATTCAACGGAAATAGAAACGTCGAGGATGAAGATTGTGGTATTATAAAATTATATTACGAAACATTGGTATTAATATTATGCAACGTGAAATATATTTAGAATGGAGTGTAGATATAATATTATAATTATCAATAGTGTAATATTATTATATAATATTTTCAATAATAGGATCTATTTTCGCAATCCTTTTTTATATTCTATTATAAATCTAGAAGAGGTTAAAAAAAAAAAAAGAAATTACAAATTAATACATGCTCGATTAGAAATTATATTTCATAAAACTTTTACAGCTAATAAAATTTATTTACCATAAATTTAACTGTAAACCGGTGATCTTGTACAGATAACAGATCAATTTATAACGATGGCGATAATCACCGAATGCTTCACTATCAGTGAATCGAGTCGTGACTAATGAGAAGTCGATGAACCATCAAACTTGTAACGAATGCAACTGTAAACATAAATTACCTTACAATGATACGAATGAATTATAATTCATCGATATTTTTTTCTATTTTTCCATGAGATGCAAGCTAGGCGAAGCAGTTTCACTCAAGTCGGTAATCATTGTGCAATTAGGTTCTCGTCAGTTATGTTTCACACAAATCATGGTTAAGATAGCGACAAAAGCATCTTCTCTTTAATAAACGTGAAATTTCCTATAAATTGTTGCGAATAATTTAACAACGATGGATCACTAACGTCTTAATAACGTCGAAAGAACGTCTTAATAACGTGTGATAAATATTTCTCTTACGAGTAACAGTTAAAATTATTCAAGGCAAGTTAATTTTTCTGCTGTTTAAAATTGGATATCATACTTATAATAATGTTCCCATTAGTTATAGCGACTAAGGATAACTTTAGAAAACTATGAAAATATTTCTAAATCGTAAAATTCTACTCGAATCATTCCTATTCTTCTCGTATAAAATTTTCAGAGTTTTCCAAAGACTCCGGTCCCAAAAAATATTCCATCATTCGATTCATCATTTTTATCTCATAGCCTTATCATTAGCCAAACTCTTTTTTCTTTTCTTTTTTTTTTTTCGATATAAAATCCAATTTTTAAAACTTCAATATTCAACCATTAAACCATTTTCATCTTCACAATACACTTGACACTTGCACAACGTTCCTTCCCAATGATTTCACCGAACAAACGAAATCTAATAATTAATCTCATAAAATTGCAATATTATTCTTCTATTCGTCGACGAAACGGGCAATACTCCATCCGTGAAGAATAACGGATCACCAATCTCGAAACGAACGTCATCCCCAAGATTAAAATTCCCGCCGCCAAGATATTATCTCCGACCGATCCATCTTAATATTTAACCCTTCAAAGGGTTAAATAGTTGTCCAACCTACTTTCCATCACTTTCGACGCTTTCACGTGCGATCGATTCACGTATACCCAACGGTTAACCTTAACGAGCGTTGGATCCCCAAGACAAATGATAAGGGCGAGTTCGATCGAATTTATCAAAGAAATAATAAAGAGGAGTATCCTTGCTGACCATTCCGGACAGTGCACACGGAAAAGGTGTGAACTGTTTAAGCCGAGGTGTCGGCTCGTCAGCAGTCAGCAAGGTGTTGGGCCACGATCATTTATTATCCCGAGATTGAATTTCTCCTCGGCTCGGCCAGCGCCTCGGTTTAATTAAAATATCGTTATGGGTAGGCGTGGATATTCGTGCCGCCGTGGAACGTTTCTGACCCATCTCTCTCTCTCTC